CCAGGAGGGGCCTCCCCAGAACCCCATCACGCTCGCATCCTGATCTCGGGCTTCCAGTCTGCAGACTGTGAGAAGCACATTTTTGTCGTTCCTGAGCCACCCAGTCTGTGGTACTTTTTAAAGCAGGCTGCATTAAGATGGCGGTCACAACACAAATGAATCTGAAAGTGCCCATGACTTTCTGAGGCTGCAAGATCCTAACTTTCAGTACCTCAGGAAGACTAACATGCTCTTGGTACAGGGAAATTCCCTTTGAGGGCAGAGCGCAGGAAAAAAGTAGCAAACCACTGGGGGTCCGTTTTGTCAAAACCTGTTGTGTTACCCTTAACATCTTCAAAGAATTTTCCCCTTGCAGTCCTCCTCTTTATTTATTTACTTACTTATTTATTTTTTAGGAAAAAATAAAGACCTTATGATAGGCACTTTGTACTATAGACTATAATATTATTATAGTCTTCTATTAACAATTGCTGTTACATGTTGGAATATTCTAGGCTTTCAAGAATCTGAATGTAGGAAAGAACACGGAAGCCATTAGCTCAACCTCCTGGTGTCTCAGATCAGCAGTCGAATCGGGTCCCCCCCTGAAGCTGGTGACAGTCAACTCGGAGGCCACTTCTTCACAGTCTGGCTTCACTCATGCTCCTGTCAGGGCTTGACTGTGAGTCTCCTGAGAAGTGGACGCTGTGTTGGTTACTCTTAGGAACAGTCGGGTATGTCCAAAGGGCACTCAGGGAGCTTAGCGAAGGCATCTGAACAACAATGATGAGTTCATATCACCATCAGGAGAGGAGCTGAGATGGGGACAGAAGTAGCTTGAAAATAGGGTGGAAGGCTTGAGGTGCGCTGAGAGAGGAAGATGGGACAGGTACGCAAAGGAAGGAGACTGCTCCTGGTCTTGGGGTGGATGGGAAGCCAGCGGTCTTCTTCAAGGCTGGGCTTGAAGATGAGTAGGATCTGGCCCCTCCGCGGGGGCGGGGGGGGGGTAGGGAGCGAACCAGAGAGAAGGGGGATGGGGGAAGGAACTGCGCTAGTTTAGGTGGGTGAAGGGAGCTGGAAGGGAAGGAAGGTTGGTTGGCAGGGGAGGTTGATGCTAGATGCCTTGAATGTTGGGCAGGGGGGTTGAGTGTAATTTGTCCGGTGTACTTTAGAGAGGGTTATGCTGTTCAGTATGCCTGGGTGGAATTGGTGCTCTTGATTTCCATCCAGCTCTTAGCCTGGCATGTAATCCTCTTTACACGGATTCATAGCATATTTCCCCAAGCTATAAACCCGCTACATACATGCAAGGATTGCATGTACAGAATTAACTTTAATATGTGATGTCACCCATATCGCTGAGCCATAGGCCCTGTGATGCTCTTTTTATTCAGGATGAAGTTTTGACGAACTCATTCTGGCGTTAAAATAAAATTTTAAAAAAGCTAGTCAAATTCCACAAGGCTTACAAGAATTGGGATTTTCCATAGAAAAATCAAACAAACCAAGTATACTTTTTCACTCCCAAGGTCAGCAGTTTGACCTTCAGTTTCATCTTATAAGCATGTTCTCCCTCTTCTGTGATGTTTGACCCAGACCGAAATTCAAACCAAAGCCTAAAGCTGGAGGGTAGTTAATTGCCAAAGAATGATCAACTTTTAAAAAGACTTTGTTGCTTACATTTTCCTATCATGTACCTCCACGGATAAAGAAAAACCAACACCCTCCTCCACTCAGTATAAATGTTAATTCTGGACACAACCTCCCTCCCTATGCTTCTGGCCAACAGAGAAGCTTCACACAGCTGCCTTGAATGGTTAGTTTGTATCGAATCCTTGTTTGAGCCTTTTGTTGTCTCGCTGCACTGGAAAAGGGACCCTTGTGAAATCTAGCTGCACAGTGTTTTCGTAGATACTCCTTACTGCAAACACAGTAATGTATTTTGGTTGCCCCACTAATTTCTGAGGAAAAATTACAGCATATATTTTAAAACACTGTCCTCGGTCATTTGTTTTTTGAGGATTTGCCAAATTTCCTGTCACCAAAACAAACCTCCGGTTTAACCTATAAACTCTGAGTTTCCGGCCTTCTTGAAACCAAAGTCTCTGTGGGCAAAGGGAACAGGTCATTTTGAGAGCATTTAACCATGCCAATTAACCATGATGGTACCAAAACATTTTACTGGACAATACTGGAGTCTTCGCTACTTCTTTTGACAAAGGAATGTTCTTTTTTTCCCAACAATAGCAGGAGAAAAAAAAAATTTTTAAAGACTTCTTCTTTTGGGGATTCAAATGCTTGTGAGTTTAATTTTGATTTTAGAAGATCTTAAGTCTCTCAAAGAAAGCCTTTAACGACCTGTTTTCAAGGTACAGATTTGTAGATATTTGTAGATTTGTAGATATTTCTCAGTCCAAATTTTTCTCTCCGTTTTCCTTGGGACCAACAGTGAAATTCATGTTCAAGGTGAGACCTTGGAACAGAACGTTTCTTTGCCGCTAAGGCCTGGAACCAATCGGTTTGGGGCACAGTCATGGCCACCCAACTTTTATTCACATCTGCTGCACGACCCCGATTGTGGGGAAAGGTCTTTCATTCTGCTTCGGGCAAGTACATGCTGTTTTCGAGATGTGCCACTTAAGCAAAGGTAGGAACATGCCCAAAGTCATTTAACAACTTCTAATTTAGCTTAAGTTGTGAAGGGAAAAGATGGGTGGTATACCAGATAGGATTTGATGAGGATGGTGCTTCGCCTCTGCCATCCCCCAAACACATAACCCGAGTCTCATCATGAGAAACACAGCAGACAGATCCCAACAGAGGGGCCATCTACAAAATACCCAGCCAGTATTCCTTCTCAAACCTGCCACGGTCATCAAAAACAAGCAACATCTGAGAACCTGTAATAGCCAAGAGGAGACGAAGAAGACAGGACAATTGTACATAACCTAGTATCCCGGATGCATTCTGGAACAGAAAGGGACATGAGAGAAATGGGAATGAAGAGTGGGCTTTAGTTAATAATGAAGTCTCAGTATTGGTTCATTATGACAAATGTACCCGACTAAGGCAAGATGTAATAACTGGGGCAACTATTTAAAGGGTGTGGTGTACTGGGGAACTCAGGACCTTTGCAATTTTTTCTATAAATCACGATCTAAAATAAAGTTTATTGAAACAAGAAAAATGAGTGTTAATATGTGGGGTTTGTTTTTAAAACACCATTTCGATCACAACGGACCTAACAGCATTACTCCCGCAGGTGGACAAACCACGACTCCAAACACCCTAGTGTGGTTTAAGCAATTTAAGAGGAGGGGAGAGAAAAAGGAGTGGCTGCCCTTCCCCCATTCCCATGTCCAAACACATTAAGCGTCTGGGAGCTTCCTTGGATGAAGTCCACATCCCCATCTTCAGTAAGGACAAGTTTATAGATTAATAGGAAGGCAAAATACTGTTGGAGATCTGTTGAGAGATTTCAGGGCTTTAAATCACTATGCCTTTGCTTTTTCAAATTTAACTATCTGCTTTACACTTCACAATTATCAAACTGTTGGTTTAAATAACATCGTGGTATAGAATAGTTTATAAATGTTTATTAAATGTCAGTAATTCTTACAAAGCAAATATTAATAGCAAGAGGCAAAATTTTTGCAAAATATGTACAAAAGTAAAAAGCCTTCATGACTAGCAACTCATGGTGTAATATCAAACCATTCTTTCCACTTTCAGACCTCCTTTAGAAATAATTTATTGCCAATCCTGAACTAAAGCACTGACAGAAAAAAAAATGTACAACAACATCAGATAACGTGCTTCTTAGTTCCTGGAAAGTTATAAAAAGATATAATACGTATAAAAAAATCCTAAGCCACAAATACTTTTATACAAAGCTAATACAAATCACGTTTTGTTGGGTACAGTAGCTGTGAGGTTGTTACAAAGTACACTTTTTGATAAGGCGTCTTGTGGTAAATGAGCTCTCAGGTAGAGTGGTACAGAAAAGCCATTTAATACATGTTGCCATTCTGCTTTCAAGTAAGAGGCAAAGAGAGAGTAAATGGTATAGTTTGTTGCACTGTTACATGTACTTTCCAAGAGTTAATCTTTACCCGCCCCCTCTTTGTTCCCCCTTGGTACCATCATATGGGAATAAATGAGGACAGATGCATCACTTATTATGGCAAGGAATACCATAAACAAGCTTTCTAAATACAAACCCAAATCAGATACCCAGTAAGTAGCATATTTCTACCACGACATCCACAGATTGAAAATGTATGCATAGTGGGTCCTACCATACTTTGACCTGGAAAATTTTTCTATCAACAGCAGATCTGGATAGGTCCCCAAACCTCCCATCAAAAAATACTGCCCCGTCATTCACTCTTTTTGTTCCCTAGGAGCTCTGGCATTTGAAATCGGATGGTTAGACCTGGATGCCACAAGAATGAACATATTCACTTACATGCTAACTATACATTCAAGTACAGACACAAGAATGCTAGTGCTACAAACACTGTACTTCAAATGCTGTTAATAATCACTCACCAGCCTAAGGCTAACATGGCCTTGATGGGACTTGAAAAAGCCATAAAGTCCAACCTGTTTAAAATGCTCAGGTGTCAACTTATACTTCAATATCTAGTATAAAGTTATTAAGCCCTAACCTCGTACCATAAGATAATGGCTATGTATCATACCATTTGCCTTACCTGGAATGTGGAGACTCATACACACCCGCTCTCGTACAATCCCCACCCCCGCCTGCCCCGGTTCCTCATGCTTTGCTAGGCTGAAAGGCCAGCCTGCATCCCATCAGTAAGAGAAAATCAGTCCTTACAGGCAAGCGGCACACCCCGTGCAGAAGCGACGGATGGAACCGAACGTGCGGAAACGATGGGAAAGCGACATAAAGTAACCCAGAAGGAGAAGTCACACTTCCGACTGAAAAAGACACGTGCAGACTTTCTGTGCCTGATTCCTTCAATTAAACTAAAAGCAATAAAAAGGTAACAGAGTGACTTTCTCTAGATTTATTGGGGAGTTTGTTACAAATGTTTGAGCTTTACAGGCATGATTTCATGGATTCAAATAAGAAATTAAGAGTTAACACTGATTTTTTAGCCTTCTTATTACACAGACAGAAATAACATTGCTACAAATTGCAATGGAGAGAGACTTGTTTCAAATGGCTTGGTTTGGGGTTTTGTCTAAATGGATCATTACATAATGAAAGCACCAATTTGAGGCTTTCTCGAATGGTGATCTGAATTTCAGAACGTAACAGAACATGACTTGGTAACTTCATTCTTCACATAAATAAGGCATAACCGGATATGTGTACTAAGGCAGAAAATACATTTTTATCAAAAGCATAAATACAAGTACTTGGGTACACACTGGAAGTTCAGATTTACTCATTCTCTCTTACAAAAAAATGACAGGGCGCATGATTTCTGTTGCATCTAAATCAATACTTCTAATCATTTCTGGTATTGACATACACTTACTTCCTTCTACTTTAAACCAACCACTGCCACCAGCCGAAAAAGGATTTCCCTAAACCACCTCAACTTAAGAGATTAACCAGAGGATCTTCACCGGGTAAGATGCGTCGGTGCAACTTCAAAGAAAACAAAACACGCAATGGGTGAGCTTTGTCATCCTCCTCACCTTCTCCAGCGGCGGCCGCTCTCCAGCTACCAAGTGCCCGCGCCAGACAGTAACACTGAAGTGAAGACCGCCACGTCATACAGCGTTTGGCAGAAAGCAACAATTCGGGTTATTAAAAAAAACAGTATTGAAGTGGCAGAGGTAGGCCTTACATGATGTGGAGCCTCAGAAAACACTTGGCAAAACCTTTTCCCTATGAAAATCAAGGCCCAAATTTGTGGTGTTCTTTGTTTTATAAGGCAACTCTGTATATTATATATTTCTTCAAGGCCAATGAGGGCACTTTTGTGACATTTCTTAAGAATTCAATGAGAAGACATTTGGATTCAGGAATACAATGTACTAGAGAATTAGGCACATTTTGTTCCAAATCATAATCATTAAGACTTAAAAAAGCAAACAGACTAAAGAACTTTAAACCACTTTTTTAGAGATGAGGGGAAACTGGCATAGTGAAAGCAATGAGCACCTTTTTAATTTGGTTCACTAAATTTCATCTCCTTCTTCATATACTGGTATTTCAAAAGGATCTAGTTTTCATAATACAGGTATTAAGACTCCTTCAAATGGTTTTAAAGTACAGTCTATAAAAAATGTGAGCTAAAGTCTTCAGACTGAGACTCACACTTCCACTGTCTCAACAAGTCGGCCGTTAAGTAGAAGTACTCTGCTGCCTCAAAATATAGTCTAGATTTTATTTTAAAAGAACATTGAGACATCTGAGACATCACAAACATCAGGAAAGAAAATCACAAATACCCAAAATAATACCGTGTCTATTTGGTGTTTTAACATCTCTTGGTGGTAGTCAAAACGGGATAACTTGGTGATTGCTGCTTTGTCAGGCAGTATTTATGGTTTCTATCACAGATCTTAAATATAACTTAAATAAGACTAAGTTTCCCCCTTGTACAGGGAACTTACTTTAGCCTTCACTGGAGTTCAATGGTTTGGGCCATTCAATTAAACTATTTGCACAATTCACGTGTAGACTCTCCAGCAAAAAGTTTGAATGTTACTGTGCGCCTATTCAGATATCCACTAGCACTGAAGTTATTCTAATTCTGTGAATTTAAACACTATATTCTTTTTGGCAAGAAGCACTGGATGTAGAACTATTCAAACATGCATGAGCTATATACTATGAAGACTTGCATTATGATGCTGGGCTACGTGTCTGTAGCTCGAGGATGACCAAGGCATGGACACACTGGAAGTTGCTATGGATAAAATGATGGTGGAACTTCAAATGCAAGAAAAGTCAGGAATGGTGAAGAACAATCCCTGGTTAGCTCCTTGAAAAGCCCTACTCTCACACTAGACAGCAAACAGACCAAGAGCCACGGTCTTGGAAAGGCTGCGTGATCCGTAATGTTGACCAATCTTTCAAGGACTTTGTAGCCAACAGAATACCTGAGAACACAGCTCTACAGTAAAGTGACAGATATCACAGTCTTAATCACAATTTTCAGGAAAAGGAGAAAAGCTGTCCGATTTTCCCAACTGTCACCAGCCTTGGGCATTTGCTTCTCCAGTCCCGGTCTCACACACACCCAACCCAGAAGGCAGTATCCTCAGTACTGCAAACCAGCCCCTCTGAGGAGGTCACTATTACCATACTTGTCTTCAAGGGTATGCTCTCGTCTCATCTAAGTGGTGAGGAGAGGTCAAATGTAATCATCTTTCGGTGTGAGCTAAAAAAAATTACTACTTATTCTTAGAAGTATCCTCAAGACATTCAAAATGTACCTCAATAAAGCCAGAATTTCATAAGCAATAATGATATAAACATGTACATGTATCTTTTAGGGACACACCAAGAACAAACAGGAATCTCAAATAATGCCTTCCTGGGTCGTCTGACAGGAAAACACTGCTCTTGGCAAACTCCAACTAAACAAAAGCTCCCAGAAATGCCACAGCTGGAGTTGATGGGAACAGACAGGGGAACGAAAGAAAGATGTCTGTGATGTACAACAGTGCTTCTCCGCAGCCAGGACCCGAGTCCCCCGAGGCAGGGCATGCAAGCGTGAGCGTAAAGCACGTCACAGCCTGGAAAGGGTATGTTTATTCAGAAAGCTCTGTTATCAAGTGACCTGCGATCTTTACAGTTGCTGCTATGGCCAGAATGTTTCACATATGGCACATTTATTACATGAGACTTAAATATGAAAGGGCCCATTATATTCCACTGATTATTTTGCATCCAACACTCTTGTAGGGCCTTGGCTTGTCTCTTGCCCCCGTCCCCCTGCCCCGTACCATTTGTGAACCTCCATTAGCGTCAGATCAGGAATCCTTATGTAAACTGTAAAACACTAAGAACATTACCTTCAGAAACCACAGAAATTTTAAAACTAAACAACTGGCGCTATGTAAGCAATTAAAAAAACACGAAGGCTAAATCTGTGTCAAGCTACAGAATGCCAGTCCTTAGATCAAACTTTTTCCCAATAGCCCTTTCAAACAAGGTCACCATAAAGCTAGGACAAGTGTCGCCGCCATGCACAAGGCAGATAAAAGGGATCTTGCTTGTTTTAGAACTGAGTATCCTTAACCTCATACCAAGAAAGACTCGAGGACACCTTCCATACTTGGCACTACAGAATTCAATTTGAGAAGTGGGAGAAGCTGAAGCCTGAACTCTACCTAGTCAGAGGCTTGGCAGGAAACTACAACCCCCTCAAAGGGAAGCCACAGTGAAACAGATCAAAGGCTGAACGTCAACAGGTATCGGCGATGTGTTATTCAGCAGCTTTCGGCCACAAACCAAAGTCGGCAGGAGGAGGACTAAGGTTTCCAAGAAGTTAAACTTAGAATCAAGATTTTTCTAATTCCTGTTGTAAACTGCTATTTTAAAAAACAAAACAAACAGAAAACAATCAAAAGGACAAAAGGTATGAAAACGGCCAGTCTTTTGTACATCACTGTAGCATGAGCTGCTTGAGGTTGTCGTGAAGAATGGTATCCTTCACGTCGCGGAAAACGAGGCGGATGTTCTCCGTGTTGATGGCAGTGGTGAAGTGGTGGTACAAAGGCTTCTGCTGCTGGTCCCGGCGTTTGTTCCGGAAACATTCCACCAGGAATTTTTGGACGTCTCTTAAGCAGTGGGGATCCCCTTCAAATTCTAAGAAATAGTCTTTGATGCTCACAATTTGCACTTTCTCCTCAAGCAAATCTGTCTTGTTCAAGAAGAGAATAATGGAGACATTGCTGAAAACCCGGTTATTGACGATTGTTTCAAAAATGTTCAGAGATTCTGTAAGGCGATTGGTCAGTCGGTCTTCCATGAGCACCTGGTCAAACTCACTTGACGAAACAAGGAAAAGTATTGACGTCACGCTGTCGAAGCATTCAAACCATCGTTTTCTCTCTGATCTTTGACCACCCACATCAACCATTTTGAAAGGAACATTTTTAATTTCAAAGTCGTACTCATGAATGCCTTTGGTGGGTCTCCTGGCAAGCAGAATATCTTGTTGTGATGGAATGTAATCCTGGAAAAGAAAAAAAACTGCTTTACACTTGGTAACCCAGAAGTAAGTAAAGTTGCTAATGAACTAGCTGGTTGAGTGAATGGATATGCAAACAAACTTATCTTTTTATATATATATATTTAAAAGATTTTATTTATTTATTTGAGAGAGAGCGTGCCAGCATGAGCAAGGGGAAGGGGAGAGGGACAAGCAGACCCCCTGCTGAGCAGAGAGCCCGGAAGAAGCAGACACAGACGTGAACAGGGCTTGATCCCAGGAACCGGAGATCAGAGATCATGACCTGAGCAGAGGTCAGACGCTTAACCGACGGTGCCACCCAAGCATCCCACAAACTTATCTTTTTGATGACTCCTCCTGGCTGCATTAAAGCATCAGTACTATCATTCTCATTACAAAACGCCAAGACAGATTAAAATGTTAGGGTAGGAAGACTGGCTCAACAGGCTATGTTTTTCACTCCTGCAGTATCTGCAGACTGAAGTCTTCCCTACCAGGTGTCCCCTCATCCCGCCCACCGCCATGTATCTACCTTTACTGTCACTCCTCACGGACCCACCCTCCGCTCCGGCCAGAGACCCTAGTCCTCACTCGACCATCTGCTCCCTGCCTCGCTGTGAAAAGCAAGGGGGGCTGAAATGCCGATTCCTGAGGGTCAGCTCCCAGTGCAAGGTTCTGTCTACCTCTCTCTAGCTCATTCTAAACACTCCTTTCCTGTGCCCCACCTTCGCGACTAGGAACTCGCCCAAGGGTCCCTCCACATCATCGCCGCGGCCATACCACCTGCGTGGGCAATGCTGCTTGGACTCCAGCCACTGCACTGACTTTACTTCGGGGCGCCTCCCAGGTCTGCTTGCGGCGTCCAGCCCAAGCAGCCGTGCTCCCGCCTTCTCACCTGTGACACAAGTAGTCACTGTCAGCGCCTCGGCCCGTGAAGTGAAGGTGACCACAGCGGGCTGACCTGCTGCAGAGGGAGAGTTTATGCGAAGGCCCCCCTCTCTGGGAACGGGACCAGTCAGCTCCGAGACCCCGGACAGACAGAAGCTGCTAGTCTCACGAGTCACTGGCTACCCCGAACAGCGGACTTCCGGATGCAGTATAACTGGTTCTTTCTTCTCAGGCTAGTGCTTTTCTTTTTTTAATATATATAT